CTCAGTCACACATTTATCAGTGGTATGTTCTTCAAGAAGAGCTACCGTGTATAGAGATTTTACAGTCGAAATGGTATCAAAACGGAAGAAAGAATGTTAGTTCTAGCGCGTAGATACGTCAACAACAAGAATGCCCAATAAAACAAGAATTTCTGGCAGAACCTATCGCCTACTTTCATTTCACTGCAATATCAGTACCTAATATGACAAGTAGCAAGGAGGGTTTAGTATGCGAGATGAAGCCAATAAAACAATACAGTCTTGGAGGCTTCAACGTCAGTAATACCGGAGAAAGTGATGTATGAAGGGTATGAAGTATAGTGTTGCGATTGCCTCGGATGGCATGATATATGTACCAAGTTTAATGTTGATTCGTTTGGAAATTCAGGCAATATTAAGGTGATTACCTCGACAGACTGAGAGGCTGCAATATTGATGTTACTAATGGGAACGAATACTGATGTATGCTCTTGAGATAACTTTAGATGGCACGACATATACATAACAAGTTCATGAATTCAAGTAATTATAAGGACATTTTATTTTTTCTTTGGCACTACAGCCCCAGTGAGCCTAGGCCTACCTCCACGAGCTTCTCCGTTCACTTCGGTTTTTCTAGATCTTACACATTCGGTAGGACTCCTTGGGTGGGTGATCAGCTCGTCGCAAGGCCTCTATCTGTACACAAACACAGAAAAACGCACACACACAAACTAAACATCCATGCCCTGAGTGGGATTCGAACCCACGATCCCGGTTTCCAAGCGAGCGAAGACAGTACATGCATTAGACCTCTCGGCTACCGTGACCGGCTATAAGGACATTACCTCAACAATTTTAGAGAGGCTGTAGTGTTGGTACTACTGATGAGAGGGATTTCTTAAGTATACCGTTGATATGACCTTAGGGGGAATCATACACATGCCAAGTTTCGTAAAGATTGGTACAGGAGCTCAAGCAATATTAAGGTTCTGCTTCAGAAATTCGAGAGGCTGTAATGTTGGTATTACTGATGGGAGAGACTGATGAATTGTCTTTAAGGTGGACTCAGGTGCCGTGATACACAAGTCAATTTTCATATAGATTGGTTCAGGCGTTCAAATTTAATGGGGGGATACACATACAGACACACACACACTGACAGAAGGTGATCTCATACGCATAATTTTATTTTTAAAAATAAGGAAAATAGGGTGAAAATGTGCTGCTTGCCGCTGATAATTTACCAGCGATTCCCAGCGTATACACGATAAAAAGGAAGTCTGTGATTATCCACCTCATCTGGTGGGCCTAATATCACAGAAGGGAACTCCAACAGCTGACACTCGTAATACTTGCGCACCGCGACAGCTTCGCCTGACTGCTGGCAGATAACCTCGACATCATAAACATTATTAATGCAAGATGGCCGCAATGAGACAGGCAAAGCCGCACAGACAGGCACTACAGGCCTAGAACAGGGGTGGCTAACCATACTCAACAACGGAGTAGCATAAGTTAAATTTCAGAAGTTTTGGGGCCCCAAGCAGACGCTATAGATTGGATATCGTCGGTGCTTAGCTACGTACCTTCCACGTACCACATCTTCTACGTGTAATTCTGTCGCAAAAACGGGGGTATTTATTTGTTGCCTTTCGCATACGACACGCGAGCCATAGTTTTATCACTTGTGTTACTGAAGCTCGTCCAGTTTGAGCAACGCTTCAAATCGTATCCTTATATGTTAATGGTTCTATCTCCAAATTTAATTACTTTTGCGTTAAAAATGCATTTAATTCCAGAGGACTTAAGAACATTAATGTGAATAAAATCGCAACAGAAATAAAAAAAGAACCCCTTTCTTTTACCCCCTATGTTCTGACTATCCATGTTTCAGGCATCATGTCCTTGCTTTCTTTGTTGCACAAAATGTGGAGACAGACCCACTGTGAGGTAAGGTGACGAAATGTTAACCCCTAGACACGCCCTTTTTTTATGAGAGTCACGTGACAGACGCCATGAGCCAGACCTGCTTTATATCCAGATACAAAATGACATATGACGACGTAACTTTGGCACTTCACACGTTCAAATCGAATTTAATATTATCATATAAACTTCAGTAGGCCCTACATTTCAAAATCAGAAATGCATGGTTTATCTAATTCTAATATCAAATTTCCTGATTTTATCCGTAACTGAATTTTTCACATCAACTTAAATGTGTAGTCCAGATGTAATTATTTTACAAGGAAAAATGTGCCGATTACATCATATCTGTAACGCGTGTGGTGCTCGTGAGCGTGCGTATCTGTGTACCTTCATCTAATTAACATTTCCCGAAAGAAGACACTAATATTCGAATTGTCGAAAACTTATATCATCGGTCTTCGCCTGAGATCATCAGTTCGTGCTTAACCCGACAATTTGTAAGGTATAAATAACTTCACGGAAACCAGTTTTTTTCCAAGTGCTTTTCAGTTTTTAAAGTGGCATTTATATTCCTACGAACTTTCTTTTTTAAAGGCAGTTCTGTTCCTAGTGATTTTTCAAAAAGTCTTTGTTTCCAGTGATTTTAATTTTTACAATTAATCTTTAGAAATTTTTCTGCCCTTCGGAACACTTAAAGAGACCTACTTCTACAAAATATCTATAGTTTATGTATAGTCTTTATAAAGTTGTTACAAATTATACTTTAGATTTTAAATCTGTATTATATTTTCTTGTTTGTTTGCTTTTCCATTTTATTGCACATTCTAAGTTACAAAACAAACAGAACAAAAGTCATACACATTTCCAGCACAATGTGCCACGGCTCCATCTCTCGCACTACCACATAATGGGAAGTCTCAGTTTTATGACATCTGGCTTCCAGATACGCGAAAGTAGACGCTCGTCGTCCCTATGCTTACATAAAAAATTTATACCGATCTGTAACGTAACGTAACCTGCCCTATCCATGGAAGATTATGCTTCAGAAGAAATGCATGGTTACAGTAGGTTACTCGTACACTTTGCATTATAAAAGAGAACATGACAAAGTCACGACACGTCAAACACTGAGCAACGACCGAGGACAAGAAAAAAGAAAAACGAAGTGAGAGAATCGCTTCATACTTTTAAGAGTTCTCCATTCGAATTCCAGCTAAGAAATCGGCAAACATAGTGGCTTTTTATGTAAGCTGTGACGTTTTCACGGCGGGGAATATAAAGAAAGCAGTCTTCTGGGATGTGGCATCGTGTAGATATTGTGTTAACCGACGTTTCGGAGGAACGTATTGCCTCCATCTTCAGGGTAGAAGACAAGAAGAAATCCGCGCTCATGCTGGTTCGCTCGCGGATTTCTTGTTTTCTACCCTGATGATGGAGGCAATACGTTCCTCCAAAACGTCGGTTAACACAATATCTACACAGCGCCACATCCCAGAAGACTGCATTCTTCATAGTGGCTTTTTGTTTTCTTTTCTGAGTTAACTGATTCTTAACAATACCACCATAGAGTCCTCGTTCACGGAAGCCTTGCCGCATTTAACCTCACGCGAAATATCCCAAGTAGCAGAAAACATGTCTTATATAACAAAATACTTATCGGAATTCAACAGCTAGCGCTATGTGTTTTCGACGGTTTGTTATGGTGTTTTAATATCGTTACAAGATACAAGATTATGTTGCTGGACAGTTCCTGCTCGGTATATCAGAGATTTTGCGTTGTTCAATGTTTGCTCCTTATTTAAAAATTGTCCCTCTGCTAGATGCGCAGCAGCTGCTAATGCTGTCTGCAGGGATGTCGACGTATTCGGAGCCAGGAATGTTCTACCCAAACAAATTTTAAATATAGTATAACTGTTAGTATTTTTATTATTTGCATGTCCAGTAAAACAAAATGAATTACGTATATTATTATTATCCTCTGAAAATCTATATTATTCATTTCTTAATTAAATATTTATGTTTCATTCCTCAATTCGTAATAACATTTAGTTTAATGATAATGAAATTATTATTACTGTCATAATTATCAGCTATTTGTTTGTTTACTTTTACTTTTATTCATTATTATTTCTTCCAAGTACTTAACTGTAATTTGTATTTGACTTTTAATATGTTTGTCTATAATGTAATTCATTCATCTGCACTGTGCTGTGTCTGTAATTGGCCTTGCGACTGTTGACTCGGCACATTAATAATAAAGAATTGAATTGAACTCAATTGAATTATCCATCGTCTAGTCCCTATCTAAAAACCGTCCTATTTATTTTTCAAAACACAACAACTAGATATACCTATTGGGTCCAACTGAGTAGGTTTTACCTGAAGACATACAGAATCCAGTTTCCGAAACGTTGTGTTTTGAAAACTGAACAGGATTGTTTTCAGATACAGAAAAGAAGATGGATACTATCCCAAAACACAATATTTGTACCAATGTACCATTGTCACGAGCTTTTAGATCTTATTGTTACAGGTGCATTTTTATTCAAATTTCTAGTTAAAACACGTGTACAACATTTCGGAGGTTGGTTCGGTAACCATTTTTAGGTAAAAGGAATATCGTTTACCTTGTACGGACCATTAGGTTGAAGCTGGTCCTCACTAACAGACGTAGAATTTGAAGGTCCTCACGGGTATAGTTAAGGCTGCCATTTTCTGTAACTTCAAAATGGAGAACCAAAGGATGAACAACGTCAAATAGAAGTTTCCCATGACTGAAATTTGCATCCTTTACTGGTGCTTACGTTGTTTAAGGACGCTATCACCTTTATTGGTTGTGTAGAGTCAAACGGTAAGATTGTCACGTCGTGTATCATTCGTTGTTTAATGAGGCTCTCAATGTCAAACTACAAACCGTCAAATGATAGGTAAATCATGAAATGGAAGGGATCTGGAAGGAAGACGTCGTATCATGATCAAGGTACTATCGCGGAATTTGCCTGGAGGGACTGAATAGAACCTCCAAAACCTCAGTCAGGATAGCCGTTGTCCCTGCCGATATTTGAACCAATGACTCCCCTAATACATACCTCAAACAACCTGCTCGGAAAGACTGTCGAGTAGTTATGAATCTGGACGGAGGCAGAAGGGATATCTCTCACAGCATTCGGCTGGAAATGACAGGAAACCCATTAAAAGATCACATTTAATAGCAAGTATTATTATTATTATTAGAGGGGGTGGGTTTCCCCAAGAACTTAGACCAGTTATTGGTCCATTGTGCGTCCCCCTTTAATTTCAACTGTCGCCATACCCTACCGGTACTGGTGCGTGCTATAAGCCAAGTTCAGCCAACGAGGTCGGCCCTCGGTACCTGATATTTCCCCCATCTACCAGAGGCATTGGACTCTAATTGGGCGGGAAATGTGTTGCCTAATTTTGCTCAGAGGTCTCCTAGAGACAGGGGGATCTTTTACGTGCCGTAAATCTACGACACGGGATCCATGGCTTAAAGTCCCTCCCTCCACGACCTCCGCCGGGTTTGAACCCGCGTACCTTGAGTCATGAGGTGGGAACGTTACCCCTAGACTACGGAGGCCGCTTTCATAGCAGCTAACTGACAGAGTTTCGAAACGGGAACCTCACGAATATACCGTACAGCGTTGTCACAATAACGATTTGCTCGATATATCTCACAGAGAATAACAACGCGCCTGTTGGTTCAGTTACAGCCAGACTCGTCACAGTTGATTAGAAACGACTGTGCTAGCCGTTCCGTCAGTTGAAAATCATAAAAAGTCGATATCAGGAAGGACGGCTGGTGGCAGACAGAAGAAAAGAAAAAGCAGGCCGATCACAGCGAAAACTGAGGGTATAATGCAACAATATTCGCTCTGCCTGCGGACTAGTTTCTTTCTTTCCAAATATCCCGAAGTTTTCTCTTTATGTTTTAGTTACGTCCCTTCGTTTATATTGGAAATCCTTTGCTGTTTAGATTAAATTTTCTACAAAACCGCACAGCCTCAGGATAAGCAATTTATAATTCGACGAAGTATTATGACGCATTTCATATAAAAAAATATCCTTCTCTAGCAATAAACCTCCAGCCATACTTAGTTCCTTACTTTTAATTATTTTTTTAATTCGCTTAGTGGGGGGTGGAGTCCAACTAGATCCACTCGGCACGGCGGCCACTGATTGGCCTATTGTAGCCTGCCCCGGGTGATTATGATGATGGAGAATTTGGTGGAATGAAGGTTTGCAGGGGAAACCGAAGTACTCGGAGAAAACCCGCCCCAGCGCCACTTTGTCCACTACAAATCCCACATGACGACCAGACCCGGTATCGAACCCGGGACGCCGCGGTGGGAAGCCAGCGACTAACCGCTTGAGCTATGGCGCGGCCTACTTACTTACTTACTTACTCATGGAGCTGAGCCCTTCCTGAGAAGCAGCCAATTCTGAAACTACTCATGAATTTCCCAGCATTTTATGGAACCCCAGGCTCATTACCGTGTTCACAAGAGCCCTCCACTGGTCCCTATCCTCAGCCAGATCAATTCAATCAATACCATCCCATCCTATCCCTCTAAAATCTATTGCACATTGTCCACTCACCAACTGCTTGTTCTTCCCAGTGGTCTCTTTCCTTCTGGCTTTCCCACCAATAGCCTATATGCATTCCTCGTCTCCCCCATTCGTGCTCCATGCACTGCCCACCTCATCCTCCTTGACTTGATCATTCTAATTATACTTGGGGACAGTACAAGTTATGAAGTTCCTCATTATGCAGTTTTCTCCAACCTCCTGTCACTTCATCGCTCTTTGTTCCAAACATTTGCCTTAACACCCTCTTCTGAAACACCCTCAGTCTATGTTCCTCCCTTAATGTCAGAGACCAAGTTTCACACCCATACAGAACCACAGGCAAAATTATAGTTTGTATAAACCTCCGGCCATAAATACAGAGATTCTCCGAAGCAGAACTGAAGAACATGTAAGCGCGGAAAATTTCACTCAATCTACAAAGAAATACGGAGACTTCGTTACAAGGGCGTATGACTTTAGCTCTTGAGTGACTTCATGGCCACGACGATATGCCTTCTTATTTCTGACGCGTGAAGAATTATATATGCCTCTTTACCCTGAAGAAAGACGTAGCACTTCGTCTGAAACGCTGGTAACTAACAAATTATACGCCACATCCCTAAATACAGAAATTTTTAGTCACTACCGTGACGACCCAAAATCTCCTAAAGATTTTCTCGAAATTCCACCACCATGGTAAGTGCTCGAACACAAGACATTCTGTGCACGATCGTTAGCACTATCATTGCATTTACGCTTAAAATTATAAATACTAACTTCTGTTGCTGTTTCGTGAAAAACGCAAAATTGGCGAAGTGGACAAGAGTAGCAAAATTAGTGGAGAAGTTCTTAGGTTATGAGACCACAGCATAAAAACCCAGTCTGATTATCATTAAAACCGCTAGATTTATGCAATACATAAAACGTATGTTTTTGTCGTCTGTAAAATTTCTGCTTCAAACATTTTTGGCTTTAAATAACATTTAGCGAGTTATTCTGCATAGCGAGCAGAAACCATTGCGGGTCTTCATGTCAAGTGTCCGTTGTTGCTATCCAGTGTTAACCAAAATTGAAATGGGTCTACAGATTTTAATGAAACTCCCCAACAGCTGTATAATTTCATGATAATTCTTTGAGCGGTTCTCGAGTTGCTATGTGAGTACAGATGGAAGGATCGACGGAAGGGCCGATTTTAATACGAGCTCCGAACGGTTACGAATGAGGCTAAAAGAGCTTGAAATTTCACCCTTACCGCATTACACTACTGTATATGTTCCACTGCGCCGGTCACGGTAGCCGAGCGGTCTAAGGCATGTATTAATCTTCGCTCGCTTGGGAACCGGGATCGTGGGTTCGAATCCCACTCAGGGCATGGATGTTTAGCTTGTGTGTGTGCGTTTTTCTGTGTTTGTGTACAGGTAGAGGCCTTGCGACGAGCTGATCACCCGCCCAAGGAGCCCTACCGAATGTGTAAGATCTAGAAAAACCGAAGTGAACGGAGAAGTTCATGGAGGTAGGCCTAGGCCCACTGGGGCTGTAGTGCCAAGGAAAAAGAAAATGTTTCACTGCACTGTTATATTAATTTTTGTCTCATAATTATTCAATCATCCGTGTATGTAGTTACCTCATAAACGTGATGTTTTTATTGCTCGTAAAGTGGTTTGCGCACTTCGCTGGCGTCATGTTCATTCATTGCCGACACAAATACACTACTGCGCTACACTGGTTACAATACTGCGCAATTATAAATAAAACTGTCTTTTGTCTCAATAAGTACACGCCACAAGGAAAATCAGTTCAAACAAAAGTTGTTTGTAGTCATGAGAACTGCACGCATTTCGTATTACATACAATTTTTTCTGCACGAAATCCTTTTAAGTATTCATATATGTTCCTGTTGAGTTTTGTGTACATTACAGGTTATATTTTAGCGATAAATGAACCCAATAACTTTTACTGCAGACACGAAATAGCAAATTTAATGATGAAAAATCCGCAAAGTAATTTCGGAGATATGTGATAGGTTAGATATGACTTCCGCATTATACCTTCATTTTATGTACCTTGTGCAAATAAAGCATAAGAATGCCAACACCTCTACTAGAATTTAAACCCCGTTTATCTAGCCTCCAGCCAGTCGCTTTATTGACTGTACTGATGCGATTCACAACAGATGTACATGATGAAAATTAATTACGAATTTGTCCGAAACCACTAACTTTGCTCTGCCAATATCGCAGTTATCGCCAGGGGTAAACATGTGGCAACAGACTTCTGTTTCGATCGGCCGTTTGTCATTATGAATAATATACCGTGACACTGTATGAAAAAGCTCCTCAAGCGCTTAACGTAATTGACCGCTGTTATGCACTGTGTCTTGTTTCTCGCAGAAGGGCGTATTTGTGACAGGGATGTCACCGATATGGAATTTCATATCGATATCAGAGAGCTGTACATCGTTATCTGATAGTCTGTTCGGTTTAGGGCATTCTAAATTGTTCACACACCAATTTAAATTCACTCTTAAACATTACAGTTGCTTGTACTACAAATGGTTGTACTTGAATATGAATTACAATTCGAGAGTTCACGTACAATTACAAATTATTCGCTTCTTTAAACAACAGAACTCAGTCTTAAACTGTGTACAATGTAACGGGAGGAAAAGCGAGCGTTCTAAAGTTGATTCGTGTGAACTGATATCGACTTATGCCTTATTACAAGTGCATTTATTACTTTTTAAATTTAAGTTGAATTGCCGGTCACGGTAGCCGAGTGGTCTAAGGCTCGCTCGCTCGGAAGCCGGAATCGTGGGTTCGAAACCCCCTCATGGCATGGATGAATAGTGTTTGTGTGTGGTCTGCGTGTGCGACGAGCTGATCACCCACCCAAGGAGTCCTACCCAATGTCTAAGATCTAGTAAACCGAAGTGAAACGGAGAGTTTCATGGAGGTAGGCCAAGACGCAAATTGGGGCTGTAGCGCCAAACGGGGAAAAAAAGTTGAATTATGAAACTTGACAGTGTATTGGGAATATCAGAAACCTAAGAAGGTAGTATCAGCTTCTCCAGAATTAATATAGGCCTACTGTACCCTGATGATGACCTGTAAGATAGAAACATCTAGCTGAAAGTAATATAACATTGTGTGTAATTTATAAGCCTTATAATTGTATAAAAACGAAGGTCAGATTGTATGAGAATATATATAATGTATTTATTTTATCTGATGATTCTGTATCATATCAAGAAATCTGTAAGGGCAGTATTAGTGCTGACCGTCGATCCGATCTCAGCCAAGTCACCTGTTACATTGACCTACGGGTGTGTGATGTGTTCATCCCACACAGCTATTCGTGCAGACAACACCCCCTCCACATAAGGGCAGGCCACGGGAAGAAAAAAAAAAACGAAACAACACCTCACACACAGGTAGGCCAACATATGACCACATCAACATGAGATCGTGGGCAGAAGCCCGCGAAAAACGTGAATGCACATTGGCAAACACCACCTAAAAATCTGGCAACACAAAACAAAAGGGACATGAGAACATATATCAAAAGTAGAATATATGTAAGAGTA